CCTCCTTGCTGTCACATGAAACTCTATAGTTGTTGAAATGCTATCTTGCATGAAGATACTGTCATTTGAATTTCTAATATCAAAACATATTCCATTTTGAAATTAATAGTTAATGAAAATCATTAAAACTCAATGCTCAATTATAGTTTCTGAATATGATTCTAAAATTGCATATGCACTATTTTTTCAAATAAAAAGCCACACACTACCTTGCACGTTCGATCCTCAGAAGCTGACACTATAATTGCATTGCATCCCCCACAACCAGTAACAACATCTGTAACACGCAGAGTGTGCTTGGTAAAACTATGCAGATAGAGATGGGTTGCCTGTTGACTTTCATAATCATCAAATACCTAAAGGGAGAAAAAAATTACAGAGGGTCAAACTTAGTAAGTAATAAACAAAACCAATCACAAAGGATTTTATATATCTAATTAAAAAAGGTGGAAAATATTAATGATAGGCAAGTACATTAAAGAGACACAACTCTAACACATCCATCCTCAGACCCAGAAATCAGAGAGAATCATCCTCTGAGAAAACCAAGCATGTAACGCCCTGTAATGCGCATGCCACTTCTTAACAATCTACCACTCATAACCTAGTCATAAAATAACAAACTTTTCTTTAAAAAATACAAAAGAAAAAAGACACCTAGACTAAAGCAGATATTTAAATTTACCTCCCATAAATATATATCCAGATGACTCCACCAACGATATATGTGCCTTCGCTATTAGCCGCAATCGGCCTAATATGCTCAGCCGGAAAGCTTTCATTCTACTTGAGGCTGTACAACCGATAATCAACAAAAAATAAAGGTCGCAATAGATAAAATAGATAATTAGTTGATGCAAATAATCAAAAGTTAATGTGCGACTTGGACCAGGACCAATAGAGGACGGAGCCTGAAGAAGATGAAGGTTCACGGAGTTGAGAGGAGGCGAGGGAACGGTCTCCCACACAAGCGAGTCCATGTGAAGGTGAGGCGCATGATTTGTAGCGGAGTGCTCAGCACCGATTGCAAATCCCAGCAACCATGCGCGTCGGCAATTGATGATGACGCGATTACTAGCTCCATTTGATCTTCCTGAATAGATAATTGAAATGAGAAGTTTTTGGTTTACATGGAAGAACGGTTCTGAGCGTTATGCGTCAGGTAAAGTGTAACGGCTGACTTCCAACCGTGGAATTTTAACAGGTAGAGGGTTTAGTAGGTGTTTTAAAGTAACTTGAGGTGTGTGACACTCGGGGGTAAAAGAGAAGACATTATAAAACGCTACGTTTGAAGAAACTTCAGTTTTCTTTTTAAAAATTCAAAGTCGGTTTCGCGGTTCTACTACCATCTGCAGTTGAAAGTTGCAACCAATGTTAACAATATGTAAGAACTTATAACTTTGTAGAAAGAGGAAAACAAACAATTGTTATGCTTCCCAAGAAAATTAATCCATCTAAAATCATGGCATTTAGTTATTGTATATAATGTATTTAATGAGAATTGAAATGGAATTAGGATACTTTCATAAGGGAGATTCCATGGTGCCCACTCACTTGAATCTATACTTTTAGAGTAAAGACTTTTTCCATACCAAATAATGGTTTAATAACATTTTCCACCCAAAACGTTTAAAAAAACAATTAACCCAAACGTTACGTTCCGTTAACAATTTCGTTAAATAAATGATATTATTGTAAAGAAAAAATACCCCCATCAAAGATCAACCGCAATCGTCGGCCATTCAAAGAAAGTTCTCGTGTCTCAACCAAATTTGGTGATTTGACATCGAAATTGACATGTACCACCATTCAAACCACACATCCCCCCACAAAAACCCTCTAACCCTCCCCACAATCACTCCCATCTTCTTCTTCTTCATTCTCACTACTCCGCCATTACCAAAGTCGCTCTTCTTCTTCACTATCGTGGCCTTTTGGCTGCTTCAGCTTGTTTTGTTCACCAATCACGACAGAACTCTTCCCCAACTGATTGCACCTTCCCACTCGTACCATTGCCTCTGCTTACTCGTCGATGCCAATTAGGCCAATGGCCTAATTTGACACGTCGGTACCCTCACCCCACTATCTTCAAGCCTTTGATAACCTCAACCGTCTTGCCTTTTGAACCCATCGTCGCGATTGTTGCCCTCCCATTTTGTTATGCGAACATTCCCTTTTTCAACTTATTCGGTGTCGGAAACCTTCCGAGACCACCATTGTGTTCACCAATCAACCCTCACTAAAACCATCATCCTCCACCAAAAACCCTATCATCCTCAACCACAGTAGCCCGTGCCACCCACACCTTACTAGGGTTTCACAATTTTGTCACTTTGGTAAAATTGGAGGTGATTTTGGTGTTGGTGTTAATTGATTTTGGAAGTGGTGTCATGTGTAATTGATTGCTGTGATTTTGAGGGTGGGGAGGTAGGGTTGAAGGGGGGATGACGTGAGTCTATTGATGGTTTGGAGACGATTTTCACACAAGGATTGACCAAAAAGCTTGAATGCGTTGATGGTGTTTCGGAATTAGATGTCATTTTTTATTGATTACTCTACCTTACTTATAATGAACTTTGATCGTCCTCCCTTTTTCAAAACGAAATTTATAATAGAATTATGCTTTGAGTAGTAAAGTGGTATTTTAAAATTTTGGGTGGGAAAGTGTCATTAGACCATTATTTGGTGGAAAAAGTTGTACTCTACTTTCTATTAGAAACCAAATGTTCCTGGGATTGAAAAGATTGTCAAGGGAAGGAATTTAAAGAGAATCGGCGGGAAGAAAAGAAAACAAATATACAATTAAACAACCCAGAAGTAGAATTGTGTCAAAAATTAATTTATGGACTTGGCCCACCCTATTTAATACATATCCAAATTGTGACATGGATCAAAATCCCAAGTAATTGTAAATCATGATGGATTATTATTATAAATTTGTTTTTACATATCTCAACTACTCTTTTAAAATTAATATATGTGATCTGGACATACAAAAGACATATCAAAATTCAAATCCACAAATTATAATAATAATCACATGTAAGTGATGCATCCCCAATATATTTTGATAAGTGTGACCCAGTGTTGAGATTTGGTTGAGATATGTTTCAAGCTATGTTATATAAGTGTGCCCATCCGAAAGCTATGGACATACATCATATGTTTAGTCATATAGTTGTAGAAACAATATCAATACAAAAATCACTATGCTATTGCATACCTAAAGAACACATACATGATACCTTTTTAAAGCCATTTTTAATAGCTAACTTGAATGACCGAAGGAAAAACCCACATCACTTTCACCATCCACGATGTGCCAAACAGAGAAAATCACACAAGAGATCTGACATATCTCATGTGCGTGATCTTATCTGCTAGAAGAAACATACTCTCTTCTCTATCTTTCGATTTGTTTATGTCTTCTATAGAAAAATTATGATTTACATGATCCCTGCTTAGCAAAGGGATAGATTTGGCTTTGATATGTTATGAAATCCAAAGAAACTTATTTTTGTGGCTTTATAAAGGTTAACTATTTCTATGTAGAGATGGATGTAACCTCAAAGACAAGAAACCCTATAAAGAAGCAAACAAAGAAAGTCAGCATAACTTCCTTTGCCAATTTTCCAAACCTTCATCCTGGTTCCTTATGATAAAGAGGAGCCAAGCACATCAACACAGCCAAAAAAATCAGATCCTTTCATTACAGCGAAAAAAGGAAAAAACATATTATAGCAAAATCCAACTACTAAATCGGCATCTAAGGAACCAAATGAACAAAATCCTATCCGAATTGAGAGGAGGCTTCCCAACTAAAATAGTTAGGAGGGGAATGCCCACATAATATCAATATTGGCCCTTATATAAATATTCATCACCACTGGCAACCATACTGGCATGACCACATAATATGATAATGACCTAATCAATCTCCAACTCATCTTTTTACCAACCGCACATGAAATCCCAACTATTAACTTTGCAAGTATGGGAACAAGAAGCTCTAGCCAAAGAAGATTTTCAACACCTTTATATACATTTTTGCTATTTTATTGAAGATATAATTGAAAGTCTAAAAGGTGCATCAACAACATTAGTTTTTCTAGTGATTGAAAATATCTACATGAAAATATTGCAAGGGATTGTTTGATGGACTTGACCGATAAGGAACAAGTTGGTGAAACGGGAGGAGGGAAAGGGTGAGATTCAGGAACATTGTGGTTAGATATATGAGAATTGTAGAAGATCTGAAGTTTCATGCATGATAAGGAGAGCTAAACTCAGTCTATGTTAAATCAACGCAAGATATCAATGGGTTCAGAAACTTGCATTCCTCTTTTTGACTACATGGAAATCATAATATTATGAATAAAGAATTTAAACAATGAGATTGAGTCAGCAGCAAAAGGGAAAGCAGAAAATAAAAAATAAAAAATATATGCAATGATTTCTCACAAATTGGATGCCAAGGGGTATTCTCACTTGATAGAGCATTTGGGTATTTAAATAGATCACAACCAAGCAAACTAACCCAATCACACATTTGACAAGCAAAACTAATAATAAATGGAGATAGAACTAATCAATCATCAGCTGAGATCTTCACAGGAGGCTTATATTGACTACACAAGCCACTGAAAACATATTCTCATTTTTCTTTACATCAAAGCACCAGTTTAAATTTCTTTTTTAGTATCTCTGAGTTCTTTACAGCTCAATCATCAATCACAAAACAACAAAACTGATAATGAAACCAAATAAACACAATAACTTACGATAACAACGGCAAATGGCTTCAACGAAGAAGAAGAACGAGATGAGGAACGAAGACGAAGAAGGGCAAGGCGATGGCTTCAAGATGTTTGCTACTATTTTTTTTAAAACTTTTTTGGGACCCTAATGTAAAACTGAATTTTTTTTTAAAATTTTTATTTGCCTCTATGTCACTGGACGGTCGTCTATCTAATAGGGATGCCAATCCATAGAAGATGGAAGAATTACTCAACTTCATTTCCTTAATTCTAAGGGGACTTAGTATCATCACTTTAAATTAAAACCTTCAACCAGATAAAATTTGTTCCGTTTGGCCAATAGATCGAACATTTCTATACCAAGACATGAGTATAACAAGAATTAAAAAAAAAAAAAAGGGGAACGCGGGGCAAAGCCACAAGGGTCCAAGGGGTGTGAACGTTCATCAGACCACATAAGCTGTTGTACAAATAATCGTGCCTAAGGCAATATTTCATTTTGTGCATCCCACTTGATCTCCATCCAAAAGTTCATTAATACAGAATTCATGCAAGTTGTCATACATTTTCTTCCACTGCTGAACCATTTGCATGGACCTTCCACATTCATGCTTTAGCCTCTCCACCTCCATTTCTGCTGCGGCAGAAGAACCTTGTCTCTGGTGAAAAGACACAGAATAAAGTTAAGATAATGTTTCAAGAGAATGCAAAGATGGTGCTATTCATCTGCAGGACCAAAATGGGTAATAGAAAATAAGCACAGAATAATATAAAGTAACAATAATATAACAAAGATCAAATCCAGGACAATAAAAGAGGATAAAGAACATTTTTAAAATATAAACAATTGAAAACCTGGAAGTCCTCAATATGCTCATCAATTATTCGAGAACTGCAGTATAAAGCGTCTTGAGGAATATTGCAAGCAGTGGGGAGACGGATGACAGTTTTATTGTTCAAGCCTTCATCAGTCAGATTGACATATTTATCCAGTGGAGGTGGTAATAAAAACCCATGCCTTCTTGAGGAAGCATTTGAATTTGAGAATGTTCCCACACTATGATAGTGAGGTCGTCTAACAACAAGAATATTGTTCACGGGACCTGCATAATGCGGAACAAAGCATCAGTAAAAATAAGAGAACTGAATGTCACAACAACAGATTGTTGGTGTAGTGACAACAATATCTGCTACAGCAATAGCACCACCCAAAAAATGTGAGCCAACATCAAGTAAAAGACCTTTAAAGAGAAGAAGAAAAAGTTATATTTAACAAGCATGGAAAATATTTGCATCTTTGAGCTCTGAATGTTAAGTATTACCCTCAAAATGGTAGGAAACTACAAAAGCATCTGAGATTCTTAAATATAAGGTTGAAATTGAACATCAAGAATACGAAATTACACAACAGCTTCTAAATCAAGAGAGAATTCCACATTATTTTAAGCGAGAAGGAAAAACATGCTAATTCCTTCAAATTGCACTAAAAGAAAATGTATCTTTTGAATATGCTTTAATCTCAATTTTAAGATTTGGCCAATTTAGGTCCAAATACTATACAAATTTCTACCATTTCTAATTAGGATTCAAAACAAACTTATCACTTCCTAAAAGAAAGAGAACAAAGCTTCATGGCAATTCAAGAAAGGTCAATGCAGATAATAGTTGACATTTCTCCTACATTACATATATCTAGCTTTTAATGATGAGTATAGATCTAAGTGCATGTATCCTTCTTGAGAGTTATAAAACAATATATATAAACTGCTATTGCTCCTAGATCAAAGACCAGGTCACCAGAGTTCCTTTAAAGGCAATGCATCAGTTGAAAAATTCTCAATCTTTTATTCTAGTTGAGTGAAAAAAATGACCGGCAACCAATTTTACCAGCACTAAAAAATTGGGAAGTGAGTGAATATTGAAAGATGCGATATTTTGCCACACTGTATAGTTACAAAACAGTATAAACAGGAATGATGCAAAACGCTTCTGTTCCCAAGAACTAAAAAATAATAGGAAAATATAGAAAACCATTACGCAAACCAGGAAGTTACAAACACAAACACAAATATATATAAGGAAAAAAGAAAAAAAAAAAAAACCTTTTGCATGTTTGAACATGCGAACAATGTTATGGGTCTTTGGGTCCCAAACTCGAACCATGCCATCCTCCGATCCAGAAAGCAACAAATCTCCTTCTGTACTGTATGCCAAACAAGTGACAGCCTTGCTGTTTCACAGGGGAGGAAAAAGGAGGAAAATTATGAATCTGTAAGTAAAAGGATAAGACAGTTTGATTAAAAAAAAAAAAATAACGTGTAAGCACTTGATGAAGGATATGCAAAATATTGATCAAAATGTCTCTTTCAAAGTAACCACAAAAACTACGGCATGGATGAGTTAACCAATCGTGCAAAAACTTGTTGAACCAAGAAACAGGCTCCCTAGGCACCTATAAAGAAAGCTACACTTTGCTCTTGAATAATTACTGTAAATCTTGATGCTTTCCTTGTATATTTAATTTATCTTGAGAAGTGGATTTATCCCTCAAAAGTTGCCATTAATATTTAATGTGAAAACTATTGTGGATGAACACATTATCACATTAAATCCCGGCACTTTACTTCCTTTCCTTTTCTTTCTTTCTTTCTTCTTTTAACATAGTTTGCGAATATATTGGATTTTTTTTTAATATATTAATAGAATATTCTATTCATTATTAAGTAGGTAACTACACATTAAAATTTATAGCAAGTGCTTTCACAACAAACATGGCAAGAGATTTGGAGTGTACAGGTTCTCCAACTCCTTTGGGGGGAATGGAAAGATTATAAAATGAAGACACTGTAGTTAAGTGATTTTAAAAAGTCCACGATCAACCTAAATAGCCACTCCAAGGAAATTAGGCACTGGTGGTTCACTGGTTCGGTAAGCCCATTGAACTGGTTGGAAGAGTAATCAGAACAAAACTCACAAAGGCTAAACGCTGCTCACTATGATCCAGTGTAACTAATCAAATCAACCTTGGTTAAAAGTCTTGTACCCATACCAGCAGACTATTTATGTCGGGAAAAAATAATAACCTCTGTCCACATTGAGCAGATACATTCTATTTTCCACTGATGGACCTCTATATAGAAGAAGGAAAGGTCTAAAGAATTGCAGAAACATCTTTAACTTTAGTAACATAAAACAAACAAAAGCTAATACATCCAAACAGCTTGGTACTATAATCAAATTAGTTACTAATAATTATTCCAATTGCAACTAATTTCAGAGAGTATGATACATGCAGCAAAAGCAAATTCAAGAAAATAGCTCACCACTGTTAATCTAGAGGACAACTCAGAAAGATGAAGATAATATTGAACCAAGAAAAAAATGTAAATTGTGAAAAACTATAGAGTAGGCCAGATATAGAAAGGTCCTATTCATTATCCATTAATTTCATGTGACTGCAAGAAAAATGAAAAACCTGCGGTGGGACAATGAACTAATGATATGCATTCCATAACTGCTGCTAGAGGAACTTTCAGCATTAAGTGCAGCAACATAAATATTGCCATCTCTACTGCCAGCATAGAAGACATGTTCAGCAGGGTCCAGTACAACCGCATCAATTACTGAAGGGAATACGATACTTCTCAATAATCTTCCTGTAGATAAACTCCAGACCTAAGGCAATATATAAATAAAGAAGGGTAATTTCAATGTACAATTCTTCTTTCAGATAAGTTAAATACTAGTAGACTATGAAATAGAATAAAATGTTTAACTCCAAAACATTACAAGGTTTTGCTGCTTGATAGCAATAAGTAAGATTTTATAATTGGGATCATTCTTTCTACCAATATCATTTTCTGTAAGATATAAATTTTACCAATGGCACACATCAATTCTCATAGTTTCCTAATATCATCCAATGGCTAAGCGTTAGATTTCCCTCCTTGCTGTCACATGAAACCTCTATAGTTTGTTTGAAATGCTTATCTTGCATGAAAGCTATCTGTCATTTTGAATTTCTAAATATCAAAACATATTACCATTTTGAAATTAATAGTTAATGAAATATCATTTAAAACTCAATGCTCAATTATAGTTTTCTGAATATGATTCTAAAATTGCATATGCAGCTAATTTTTTCAAATAAAAAGCCACACACTCACCTTGCACGTTCGATCCTCAGAAGCTGACACTATAATTGCATTGCATCCCCCACAACCAGTAACAACATCTGTAACACGCAGAGTGTGCTCGGTAAAACTATGCAGATAGAGATGGGTTGCCTGTTGACTTTCATAATCATCAAATATCCTATAAATGGGAGAAAAAAAATTACAGAGGGTCAAACTTAGTAAGTAATAAACAAAACCAATCACAAAGGATTTTATATATCTAATTAAAAAAGGTGGAAAATATTATATGATAGGCAAGTACATTAAAAGAGACCAAACTCTAACACATCCATCCTCAGACCCAGAAATCAGAAGAGACTCATCCTCTGAGAAAACCAAGCATGTAACCGCCCTGTAATGCGCATGCCACTTCTTTAACAATCTACCACTCATAACCTATGTCATAAAATAACAAACTTTTTCTTTAAAAAAAAATACAAAAAGAAAAAGACACCTAGACTAACGCAGATATTTAAATTTACCTCCCATAAATATATATCTCCAGATTGACCTCCACCAACGATATATGTGCCTTCGCTATTAGCCGCAATCGGCTTAATATGCTCAGCCGGAAAGCTTTTCACTTCTACTTGAGGCTGTACAACCGATAATCAAACAAAATATAAAGGTCGCAATAGATAAAATAGATATTATTAGTTGATGCAAATAATCAAATAGTTAATGTGCGACCTTGGACCAGGACCAATAGAGGACGGAGCCTGAAGAAGATGAAGGTTCACGGAGTTGAGAGGAGGCGAGGAAACGGTCTCCCACACAAGCGAGTCCATGTGAAGGTGAGGCGCATGATTTGTACCGGAGCTGCTCAGCACCTGATTGCAAATCCCAGCAACCTATGCCGGCGTCGGCAATTGATGATGACGCGATTACTAGCTCCATTTGATCTTCCCTGAATAGATAATTGATATTGAGAAGTTTTTGGTTTACATGGAAGAACGGTTCTTGAGCGTTATGCGTCAGGTAAAGTGTAACGGCTGACTTCCAACCGTGGAATTTTAACAGGTAGAGGGTTTAGTAGGGTTTTAAGTTTTAACATAACTTGAGTTGTGTGACACTCGGGGGTAAAAGAAGAAGACATTATAAAACGACTACGTTTGAAGAATCCTTCAGTTTTCTTTTTTAAACATTCAAAGTCGGTTTCGCGGTTCTACTACCATCTAGCAGTTGAAAGTTGCAACCAATGTTAACAATATGTAATGAACTTATACACTTTGTATGAAAGAGGAAAAACAAACAATTGTATGCTTCCCAAGAAAATTAATCCATCTAAAAATTCATGAGCATTTAGTTATTGTATAATAATGTATTTAATTGAGAATTGAAATGGAATTAGGATAACTTTCATAAGGGAGATTCCATGGTGCCCACTCACTTGAATCTATTACTTTCTAGAGTAAAGACTTTTTCTCATCCAAATAATGGTTTAATAACATTTTTTCCACCCAAAACGTTTAAAAATACAACATTACTATCCAAACGTTACGTTCCGTTAACAATTTTCGTTAAATATAATGATATTTATTGTGAAGATGAAAATACCCCCATCAAAGATCAACAGTCAATCGTCGGCCATCGCAAAGTAAAGTTTCTCGTGTCTCAACCCAAATTTTGGTTGATTTTGACATCGGAAATTGACTCTGTCACCACCATTCAACTCACCAACATCCCCCCACAAAAACCCTTCTAACCCTCCCCCACAATCACTCTCATCTTCTTCTTCTTCATCTCCACTACTCCGCCATTACCAAAGTCATTCTTCTTCTTCACTATCGTTGGCCTTCTGGCTGCTTCCAGCTGGTTTTGTTCACCAATCACGACATGAACTCTTCCCCAACTTTGATTGCACCTTCCCCAGCCTCGTTTAACCAAATTGGCCTAATTTTGACATCGTCGGTACCCCTCGACCCCACTATCTTCAAGCCTTTGATACCCTCAACCGTCTTGCCTTTTGAACCCATCGTCATCGATCGTTGCCCTCCCATTTGTGTTATGCGAACATTCCCCTTTTCCAACTTATTCGGTTGTCGGAAACCTTCCCTGAGACCACCATTGTGTTCACCAATCAACCCCCACCAAAAACCCTATCATCCTCAATCACAGTAGCTCACCGTTCGCCACACACCACCTTACTAAGGGTTTCACAATTTTGTCGACTTTTGGTAAAATTGGAGGTTGATTTGTTGGTGTTGGTGTTAATTGATTTTGGAAGTGTGTCGATTGTTTAATTGATTTGCTGTGATTTTGAGTGGTGAGGTAGGTTAGGGAAGGGGGGATGACGGTGAGTCTATTGATGGGTTTGGAGACGATTTTCAACACCAGGATTGACCAAAAAAGCTTGAATTGCGTTGATTGGTGTTGTCGGAATTAGATGTCATTTTTTTAATTGATCATTCGACCCTTACTTATAATGAACTTTTGATCGTCCTCCCTTTTTCAAAACGAAATTTATTAACAGAATTGTACTTTGAGTAGTAAAGTGGTATTTTTAAAATGTTTTGGGTGGGAAAGTGTCATTAGACCATTATTTGGGTGGAAAAAGTTGTTCACTCTACTTTCTATTAGAAACCTAAATGTTCCTGGGATTGTAAAAGATTGTCAAAGGAAAGGAATTGAAAGAGAATCGTGCGGGGAAGAAAAGAAAACAAATATACAATGTAAACAACCCAGAAGTAGAATCGTGTCAAAAATTAATTTATGGACTTGGCCTAGCCCTATTTAATACATATCCAAATTGTGACATGGATCATAAATCCCAAGTAAGTTGATAATTCATAGAAGTGATTATTATTATAAATTTGTTTATACATATCTCAACTACTCTTTTAAATACATATGTATATGTGATACTGGACATACTAAAAGACATATCAAAATTCAAATCCGACAAATTTATAATAATAATCACATGTAAGTGATGCATCCCCCAATATATTTTGATAAGTGTGACCGTAGTGTTGAGATTTGGTTGAGATATTGTTCAAGCTGATGTTATATAAGTGTGCCCATCCGAAAGCCTATGGCCACAATACATCATATGTTTAGTCATATAGTTGTAAGAACAATATCAATACACACATCACTATGGCTATTGACATCACCTAAAGAACAACCATACATGATACCTTTTAAAGCCATTTTTAATAGCTAACTTGAATGACCGAAGGAAAAACCATACATCACTTTCACCATCCAATGACGTGCCACAACATGAGAAAATCACACAAGAGATCTGACTGTATCTCATGTGCGTGATCTTATCTGCCTAGAAAGAAACATACTCTCTTTCTCTATCGTTCGATTTATTTATGTCTTTCATAGAAAAATTATTGAATTTTACATGATCCCTGCTTAGCAAAGGGATCAGATTTGGCTTTGATATGTTTATGAATCCATAAGAAACTTATTTTTGTGGCTTTATAAAGGTTAACATATTTCTATGTAGAGATGGATGTAACCTCAAAGACAAGAAACCCTATAAAGAAGCAAACAAGAGAAAGTCAGCATAACTTTCCTTTGCCAATTTTCCAAACCTTCATCCTTGGTTTCCTTATGAGTAAAGAGGAGCCAAGCACATCAACACAGCCAAAAAAATCATGATCCCTTACATTACAGCGAAAAAAGGAAAAAACATATTATAGCAAAATCCAACTACCTAAATCGGCATTACTAAGGAACCAAAATGAACAAAATCCTATCAGAGTTGAGAGGAGGCTTTCCAACTCAAAATGTAGTTAGGAAGGGAAATGCCCACATAATATCAATATTGGCCCTTATATAAATATTCATCACCACTGGCAACCACTACTGCCATGACCACATAATATTGATAATGACCCTAATCAATCTCCAACTCATCATTTTTACCAACCGCACATGAAATCCATAAACTATTAACTCTGCATAGTATGTGGAACAAGATTAGCTCTAAGCCAAAGAAGATCTTCAACACCTTTTATATACAATTTTTGCTATTTTAATTGAAGATATAATTGAAGTAAAAGAAAAAATCAAATCTAAAGAAAAGATGTTAGGTGCATTCAACAACATTAGTTTTTCATAGTGATTGAAAAATATCTACATGAAATTGATTGCAAGGGATTGTTTGATGGACTTGACCGATAAGGAAACAAGTTGGTGAAACGGGAGGAGGGGAAAGGGTGAGATTCAGGAACATTGTGGTTATGATATATGAGAATTGTAGAAGATCTGAAGTTTCATGCATGATAAGGAGAGCTAAGCTTCCAGTCTATGTTAAATCAACAGCAACAGATAATTCAATGGGTTCAACGAACTTGCATTCCTCTTTTTGACTACATGGAAATCTATAATATTATGAATTAAAGAATTTTAAACAATGAGATTGAGTCAGCAGCAAAAGGGAAAGCAGAAAAATAAAAAATAAAAAATATTATGCAATGATTTCTCACAAATTGGATGCCAAGGGGTATTCTCACTTGGATAGAGCATTTGGGTATTTAAATAGATCACAACCAAGCTAAATCTAACCCACATCACACATTGTGATCAAGCAAAACTAATAATATAATGGAGATAGAACTAATCAATCATCAGCTGATGATCTTCACAGGGAGGCTTATATTGACTACACAAGCACACTGAAAACATATTCTCATTGATTTCTTTACATCAAAGCACCAGTTTAAATTTCACTTTTTCCTAGTATTTCATTGAGTTCTTTACAGCTCAATCATCAATCAAAACCAACAAAACTTGATTAACAGAAACCAAATAAACACAATAACTTACGATAACAACGGCAAATGGCTTCAACGAAGAAGAAGAACGGCAGATGAGGAACGAAGACGAAGAAGTGAACAACGGCAAATGGCTTCAATAGATGTTTGCTAGTTTTTTAAAACCTTTTTGGGACCCTAAATTTGTAAATCTGAATTTTTTTAAAAATCTTTTTATTTGCCTCGTATGTCAATGGACGGTCGTCCATCGTCCATCTAATAGGGACGCTCATTCATTGAATATGGATGCCCGTTCATTGAATATGGGCAAGCGTCCATTATTATTGTTTTATAATTTTATAATTTAAACTATGTAAATGGACTCTGAGTTCATATAATATGGATCAGAGTCCATTGTTATTTTTGTACGAGATAGATGGACGAGAGTCCATTTGAAATGGACAGCCGTCCAACAATCATGGACGCTCGTCCATATTTGATGAACGGTCATTCATTCACGAAAGACTTGTTAATGTGTGCAACGTGGCTACTTCTACTCGGATGATACGTCTGTCGGTACAAAAATTCGGTGTCAACATTCGGTGTTTGTAGGATTATTTTCGACGTTAGGATCGACCAGAAAAGCTTGAATCGCATTGATCGATGTCGTCGGAATCAGCTGTCATTTTTTTAATTGATCGTCCTACCTTTACTTATAATGAACTTTTGATCGTCCTCCCTTTTTCAAAACGAAATTTATTAATAGAATTGTGCTTTGAGTAGTAAAATTGTATTTTGAAATGTTTTGGGTGGGATAGTGTCAGTAGAGTATTATTTGGGTGGAAAAGGTCGTTTACTCTACTTTCTATTATAAACCTAAATGTTCCTCCCCTTATGGGATTGCAAAAGATTGTCAAAGGGAAGAAATTAAAAGAGAATCGTGCGGGAAAGAAAAAAAAAAATATACAATATAAACAACCCAGAAGTAGAATCGTGTCAAAAATTAATTTATAGAATTGGCCCAACCCTAGTTAATACATATCCAAATTGTGAAATGGATCATAAATCCCAAGTAAGTTGATGATATCATAGATGTGATTATTATTATAAATTTGTCGGAATTTGCCTAATTCATAAAGACAAAGGCAAAAGTGTAAATTAATTAAAATAAGAAAAACGAGGGAGAGGCCCATTAAAGGCCCAGTAACAGACGGAGATAAACAAATTGGTCAATAAAGTGGTATTCAAGAAGCTGCTAAACGAAGCAAGTAAACATGTGTTTTGAAATAAAAATAGACCCTTTTACTTTTGTGGTCCAATACGGCTGTTAAGCAACCTACAATCACCTTCCTTAAAGCATCTTTACCCGATGATCCGTATCCACTTTTAAGACCCAAAATCACCCACTTTCCCCTCTTCTGTCTTGGACTAGACGTAGCCTTCTACAACACCACACGTGCACTTTGGACTCACGTGACACACCTTAAAAAAGACAAACCCTAGGGAAGCCTCTTTATTTATTTATTAAAAACTGTTTCTTTTCATCATTTCACACGACAAAGATATTCTAGGTAATACAATATTCCAACTTTATATCACTCTGTTACTCTATATATTCTAAGTTGCAACTCTACACTGACTTAAATAGACATTTCCAAACTTGCTTTCATTCGTCTGTGTGTCGCAGCAGGAGTTATTAACTCGCATAAACCAACAGGACTCAAGAAAAGCAAAAACAAACGAAACCAGTAAAAATGGTTAGTCAAACTTTATGGGAAACTTTACTTGTATGGGGATGTTGGACAAAGTGAGCAGCAAAAGAGATGGGGTTTTTGGGACATTATTTATCTACCAGTCAAGGCGCTTTCTCTCTTTTTCTGGTTATCGTCTGGAAGAAGGAAAAGAAAGCTTGGAATTAGAGAAAAAAGATAAAGGGAGAGGAATTCAAAGAGAGTTTTGAAAATGTGGATCAAATAAGGAAAAGTCAAGGTTTCTGCTCCTCTCTGAAGAAGAAGTATAGAAGCATTGATAGATACATTTCAAACCACATTTTTCGTCTGTTCTCTATTATTTCGCTGTCATCGAATTTCCCACTTTACTTTATTTTTCTAAAATCTGAAGCTTTGTATTTGCTTTTCTTTTTCTTTTTTTTTTTTTCAAAAAATTATTTTTTCTCTTGACTGACAGTTCATAGAAACGAGAAATAGAGATTATAACCTTCAGCAAAAGATATGATAACCTTCTTTTTCCTAAATAATAGTGTGCTGTCTTTTTGACAATAATAGTTGATGATAATAATCATAATGACACTACTAATTAGTAGGCTGTTAAGCAACGAATTATCATTTGGTGTCAGCTGCTTATTTATTTTAATTAATTTAAAAGCTTTTGAGAATTAACAGGTGAAGTATTTTGAAAAGCCCGGTTGTACACTTGTTGCAGTTGTACGTATGATTCATTAATGGGACTAATAAGAGAAAGCCCTAGAGGGACATTGTTCAGGAACCAGGAACCAGCCATAGCCTGAACCCTACTCAGCTTTTTTTATGTAATACAACTGAAAGGAAGTAAGTCATCAGCAAATTAACACAAACTCTCTCTCTCTCTCTCTCTCTCCTGCATTAATGTAACTGAAACATACAGACATCAAAATCATGAAGAAAGGAAAAGTAGATGAAGATGAAGAACAAATCTGAACAATAGCAATAAATTGCACCAATGAAATAGACGAACATCAAAAAGAGTAAGATGGTGTTGGCGATTTAATTTAAACTTGCTTTTGATACTTCAGTCTAACCAAAACCCACTTGCATTCATGGCTGCGGGGGAACAAAGATACTACCGACATAAAGTTATATACATAGTCACAAACACCCACACGCACGCACACACATGTTTCATCAACACTATTATCAGATATTCAGACTCAAGAAGTGAAGAAGAACAAAGACAAATCATAAAAAGAAAAAAAAAAATGAAGCAAAAAAAGAAAAAAGAAAAAAAAAAAAAGGAGCTACTAATAATCTTCAATAGATTTAAAGAAACTAACATGTGGAAGGAGGCATGAGATTTAACCCTAAATCATTCTTTTCCAAAACCAAACGAACCTTGTTGGTCTCCATATTTCCTGGATTAGAAGCATACTCAGGGTGCAATCTTTTCTTGGATTGTAGAGGTACACCAAACAATTTCATTTTACAGCTATGGTTGTTGGTTTCTTCAAGAATCGTCAAAGAACTTTGTGATGTATTACTAGGAGAGTTCAAAACATGAGGCTGAGGACCTTGTTTAGGGTTATTAGGATAATACCCAAGGAGCTGATTTAATGGCTTTTGCACTAGTGAAGCATTAGCACCAATAGGAGTAGCTGATGGTGTGTTGCAAACAAGTAAAGAAGAAGGGTAAGAATTGCTAGGAGTAACTGGCTTAACATGGTTTTGCACAAAGTAGATAATATCATTGTAAAGTTTTCTCATGTGTGCAAGCTCAGACATTAGCATATTATTACTTCTCCTCAGTCTTTCATTATCCTCGGACAAGGCTGTAACTGAGCTATTATACCCACAACCACCACCGCCCATGATTGAAATTCCAGTGCCTCCTCTTGGTGAAGCCAGTGGCGGTGAGTCACACCAGTTGGCTTGCTCATCTGAGTCCGATGGTGAGATACTGACTCGGCTTGGAAAAGGAAAGAAACCTGGTGCATTCATCAGTGGAGAATGTGTATGCTGATGATTATGATGATGATTTATAGCAACTTGCGGCTGAGCAGTTTTTCTTCTATGGATCTCACACAGTAAGTGCTTTTCTCCTTTTTTGAAGAACTCATTGGCGAACTCCCATCTGTCTGGTACAATCTTTCTAAAACCCTAGTTTCAACAAAAAACCAAAAACACGACCGAAATCAAAATCAGTATTTTTTTTAGAAAATCATATAAAAAAAGAGATCTTTAAAGAGGAGAAAAAAAAATTGATGGTAACATACATAAGTGTTGAGTTGTCTGACAAAACTGGAGAAATTGTTGTGCTTGAAGTAGTTAGGTAGAAGATCACGAGCGAACTCAGGAGGACGCCAAACGACGAAGGTAGTGTCATCTTCACCCCAAGAGACTATGTGGTCAGTAGCGGGATCATCAACGAGTTGGTAAGTTTTGGTGAGAAATGGTGCAGGTACTGATTTATGAGAGTCAAGTGATAGTAAAATACCTTCACAATTATCTAACATAAGCGCCATTGAAAGAAAAAAGATAGAAACTATGGTTGTTTCAGAGAGAAAAAGAGAGAGAGGTTTTGAGAAAGAAATAGTGGGGTTGGGTTGGGATTGGGGGGTATGATTTCCTGCTCTCTCCTGGTGGATAAAAATGTTGGATAGGAGGGTGTAGTACTGTATACAGCGGTATTTTATTTTATTTTTTATTTTTTATGAAAAGTAAAAAAATATTATGCGGTGCGATAATATATATAAATATAAATTGTTTCCGTCCTCGGTTATGTAGTGAGAGAGAATATGTGTCTGTCTGTCTAGGACTGTGAAATAAGGGCCTTTCAAGACAAACCCGTGACTTCTCTTTCTCTCTCTGACAAGGGATCCCGCGCACACCCACTTAAAAATCTGGCACAGAAGGATGGTGTAGCTGGCTGTTTTTTAAATTTACAGTGCCCACCCCTCTCTTGTATCAACTTTATGTTTATAAATCTCACTCATTTTACGCGCACGGTTTCTTTTGAATTTTCAAGTTGGTGAAATATTAACCTTAAAGGAGTAGAGCAGAATTATTCATAAATTTGGTAGATGAAAGAATAAAAATAAAGATGAGTGAGATGATTTCACGTCAAACGAGTGTACTCTTTTTCGTTTTGTAGGTTTCCCTTTGTTGTTTAATAACACCAAACCAACACACTCTCCAATTTCGAATCCCCATCATTTTCTACTACTCTAGCAGATATAAGGAAAGGATACATCGAACTACGTGATGGGATTTAAAGCTGTTGTTTGGTGACGACATTTCTTCTTCTGCTTCTCTTCTATTTCTATAGCCTTCCTTCTTCTTTCTTCTTTTCTCACATAATATTCCAAACTTCAATATCATAAATCTCTCTTCCTTCTTCTGCCCACTATTGCCTTTACTGACTAACTTACAATTGTTTAGACTCTATCCACCCCTTTAGCCTGCTATAGCTTTGAGCCTCCAACTTTGGCTCTTCTCTTCTCTTCTCGGCTCGGCTTCTTTCTTCTTTTGCTTACGTGTCTCAGGTGATTGAATTATTGGCTCCAAAAGTTTCCATAAATAACTGATAATATTACAGCTTTTTCTTTCTTTTCTTGTAATGGCCCAATAAAAGAAATTTTTATTTTATTATCTCTCTCTCTTTTCCACGGAAGCCATGAATTTTCCATGCCTGTAAGATAAACAATGACATCTGCAACCAGCAAATTGGTGATCTTTTTTATGATAACTTAAGAGAAAAAACACAACCTAAAATAGAGAAAGACAATAATCAGCTCGATCTCTCCCGTGGTTTTAAGGCAACAAGTGTCTAAATTTCAACAAGATTGCATGAAAAACACTAGGAGTTAGTGGTTACTGGGGGATCCTGATCCTATAAAAGTGAGAAATGCATCATTTTTGCCATGAGTAAGTAACAGTAAGTGTAGGGACATTAACAGCTCCAAAGTGAAACAATAGATAAATGATGACTAATTATTTCACATAGATCCTCAACTGATTATTTTGATCATGTCTATGATTCTCATTATTGGAAAAACAAAGTTAAAAACTGATCCGATCCAGTAGCCCACACCTTTATACTTCCTCTCTTTAATTTTATTTTCTTGATTCTTTTAATAGTTAAAAAGCTATCTAAAATCTTGTTTCATTTGGTAACTCTTTCCCCACCGAATTAGCTCGTACCTCTCGTAGATAACATCCTAAAAAGTAGTAGAGACAATAAAAAAGAGACACCAGAGAGCGGCTTCATTTCAATATACATAATTATATGGAGCAAAGTTCTTCACCCCCACAAGTGCTCATTCTATAGGACAACTCCTTTTTTTTTTTTTTTTTTAATGATAAGGTATCCAATCAGTTTGTGTATATCTCGATTATTCCTAAGGACCTATTGAACATCTTATAAGTTCAAATATTCCAAAGTAAATCACAATTTGATAAATGATTTCAAAATGGTTTAAACTAAAAAAATCAATGAAGAGAACAAATTTTCTCAATTGTCAGGCCGACCCTTGCGGTTAATAGAACAAAATTAAAATCTCTCTAGTTTACCAAATCTTGTTTGTATAAAATTTTTAATGTTTTCATGTGATTCTTCATTCTAATGCTAAATCAATCCTTGTATCAGACATTGTTTTGATAATTAAATGTGCCAGATTCCATTGTGATTCTTAAATAGTCAATAAGCCAAAACTTAAGGAGTACCCACATTGATAATTATAAAGAGTAAAAAAGAAATAATTAAGGGGAGTGTTTGCATGTGACATTGATTATTTTTTTGGTTTATAAACAGAAGAGAAAAGAGGAAATTTTTAAGAAACAATGTCAGTTTCAAGTCCCGATATTCAACTATAATGGGAAATCCTTTATTTAGTGTAAGAATAAGACCGTCTAAAACTTAATATACCCTTTTCTCTTATTAATTTTCTCAATATTAATACTCCCCACAAGTTCACATACACACATACATATACATGAACTTAAATCTTCCTGCACTCTGTACAATTTGCAGCGGCTGACATGGAAACAGTTCTTTTATCTTTGATGGTTCTGTGTATGCCATTCTCGTGAATCTTTTTTGGTTTTCTCCTTAATAACATCATATTTATTAACACCTATCTTTTCCCTTAGGGTTTTATTCATGTTACATGCATATTTGTGGGAGGTTTCCCATGTGTAACTCTCTCCAATCCGACCATCAATCTAGATGCTTCCAAATTCCGAAATATATGTGTTCCCCGGCCCACAAGTGATATATCATATATATAACTTTTTACTGTCATATAATAATTTACAGATCATAAGCTCATCAAGAGAGAACCAAACACACTTGAAGTGCTGGGTCATTCTTGATTTTGTATATATCTAGAAAAAATAATGGCAGCTTAATTAGATTAACCTAATTATATGACAATCCATGTAGTGATTATTAGAACAAAAATGGTGGGTCTGTGTAGCAGATGCATATGGGACCAATCTCATCGCTGAAGATATCCACTTATATGCAAGTAAAAAGAAGCACATATAATGTGAACAGTTAATGAGCAAACTGGTAAATATTTTATGTATCATTTTTGTTTGCATCAGACATTCATGAGAGATGGGGCCATTTCAAAGTTTGGAAATCTATCGAACCCAAAAAAAAAAACAAAAAAAAAAAAAAAAAAAAGCGGTGCTATTTTTTCTTACAAGTTGTCAGCAACTTAGACAGATCCTCCCGAGCCCACCACCAAAATCACCCCAACTCACACACAAAAACTATATCTTACTAAACCATTACCTCTCTACACGTTGAGCTGAGAAGCCAAGAAGATTCTATTCTAATTTTTAAAACACAGTGAAAGTGAACCCCACAACTCTCTTCACCTCACATGACCACCGCCGATACCTTTCAAATATTATTATTTCTAGGAATTTTGAATTAAACTATATGGAATGAGTATTTCAAGGAAAGACAACTTAAAACACAGAGCGAATACGGATAAAACCTTATATTAAAAATGTTGATGACTGATAATAAACTAAATATATTATATTGTGAGAACTATCTTTATCTCTCTAATAAAATTCTAAAATGAAAAAGAATCAAAATCTGTATAATACACGAAAAGCTACAAGGTTCTTTCTTCTGTCTCTTCTTGCACTCTCTTTTGTCTGTTTCACTGACTCTTCCCCACCATGGCGAGCAATACAACAATCTTATACCTTATAATATTAATTTGAAACAGATTTGAAATCTTAAATGAATTAACTATGATAGTAGTTCAAATGGAACTACTAGGGTAGAAGGCTATTTGGTCAAACAAGTTGAACATGGGGTGGGGAAGGAAAATGGTGTATTTTTATCTGCATGAGAGAGATACTGAATTTTTTTTGAGAAAAATAGTAAGGGGTCACGAGGGGATATGGATCCCACGAGAAAATGGCACACTGATATAAATGGGGCGGACAAGATACCCGTTTGTCTTTCTACTGCACTTATGTTATGTACCCAGAAGCTTTGTCCTTTGTGTTCTGTGCGATTGACATCTCTATCCTTCTAGATCACAATCCTTCACTATTCAGTGAGGTACTAGTACTACCCATCCTATTTAATAACGGATTTAAATTTTTTGGAACATCCTGTTCTTTTTGCCCACCTCGCTAATTCAACTCAACTTTGATTCGCATTTTTAACTAACTTTTTCTTACCTTTTCTTCTCGTTGAAGGAAATCACTTGTGTTGATTCTTTAAATTTGGCTTACTGGAACTAAAACTTGTTTGTGCTCAAACTAAATATCTCGACTTTTTTACTACTGTTGAAAAAAAAGGGTGATGATATACATTTTAGTTAATTGAAAGTAATATATTTGTTGATGACTAATTAATTAGCAAATTAATGGTCAAGCAGCATAAGACTTTCCCTACATTTGGGAGAATGTATCAGAAACAATTAAATGAATCTTATTGCATTTTCTATTACAGATAAAGCATATATAAAACTGAAATCATGTATGCTTTGTTGCCAAGATGAATTCATTCACAGATAGTGATACATCTCCATATATATTCAGAAAGAAATAAAATCATATACAAATTTTAGTTCCAAACTTCAAGAAATGTATAATATCTATACCTCGAATCACTTGTTATTGAGTTACCTACTTTGAGCAATATGAGTGTGAGCAGTATTGGTGTAAATTAGGCCAAACAGTAGGCGGTGCGGAGATACTAATAATAGATAGATGAACGTACACCAAGAATTTGATTATCCCATGCTTAATGAAAATTTCAGTTTCTTGTTTTCATTCTTCTTCTCAAAATTCACTAACGTTGTTCAAGTGTTAAAAGTATGCTCTTTGGATCAATCAATGCCCTTTCAATAGCAAGAAAATGACTTAACTAGCAAGTATTATGCATTGGGTATTCCACCTCGGGATGATTTTCAAATTATTAATGTTTTTTAAGAGATTGAGTAGATTTATTGGATCTAAAGTGTAGACATTGACCCAAATAAAGTAGGGAAAGATAATTAGGTGATTGATTAAATAGGAAGGAATCTATTAACAATGGAGGGTTTGTTTTCCATGCAAAAGTTTCTATTCCTCCACAAAAGA